TATCTCTCTCTCCTCCTCTCTCTCTCTCTCTCCCTCCCGCCCCTCTCCCTCTTCTCTCTCATTTTCTACCTGTTTTCGTGACATATTGTGACATGAACGGCACATAATTATTAACCGATTCATTTGATTATGCATTATTCATCCGCGCATATTAAATAGTGAATTATTCGTAGAAAAGCCGATTTAAATAGTAAGTTTAAAGAACACTAGCGGCAGAATAGAAGCTGCTACTACTTGATTATCGAATGATATAAATATTACTTGCGTTTATGATAAAAAACAAATGCGTTAGACACAATGATACACACAATTATAATAAAAAATCTCGCGTGATAAAGTAATAGGATCAGCGTCATAAGATTTGATGACTTAAAATAGATTTTTTAAAAGAACAAAACTTCTTGATTAAAATATAAAAATCGAACCTCTTAAAATATTGCTTATTAACCTATGTGTTTTAAACATTGCGAAAAATTAGATTACTCGATTTTTAAAATTTACGATGTCCCAAAAAAATCTCTTTGTTCTAGATGTAGATTATTATCTACTTCATTGCTCTTTGAGCCTTACGGTTAATTTTTATTCAAACGACACACGACCTTCTGCGCATTCATCTGTTAAAAAATATATTTACTAAATAAAGGATATATAGATGTGATTTCTTCAACATAGACACGCGTTTTCACTTACGAACGGTCATCCATCCATCGGTATCATCGCTAACAATACGCCACATTTATCTAATCAGTGTGTTATTTTTGTCGGTGTCGAGCACCGTATATTGCCTCACAGTCGTAAGCCTATAAATCTACAGGAAGAAAATCGCGCAGGTTAATGGGTTTTAAAACATCAAACCAAAAGCTTATCGTCCGACGGACATTTCAGAAACATATCGAGAAAAAGTGAATTAGTTTCCCTTTTTTTTCGTTTGATGGGACAATAGTCGGATAGATAAATTAGAACTTTCTAGAAACTATTTATAAATTTTCGGGTTAAGAATTTGAGGAATTTGTTATTCTGAAACAAGATTGACCTTTTTTCCCTTTTTGAAAAATTCTCAAGATCGAGTTTATATTTGAAAAGTCTCGACCAATAGCTATTCAGCGATTAAAGTTTTGGAACATAACCATAGCTTCAACACTATCGATCCAACCTTGAACCGTGACACCTGCACAAAGAACGCGTAATCGATGATTTGTGTGCGTTAAATGTCGATTACGTCTTCCGTTTGCGTGTCATATTCACGCACGATATATTAATTTTACAAAATTATCGCGAGTAATTATTTTCATATGAAATTTCATGTTATAATTCTAGTTCCATTATAATACTAAATATTTAAACATTTTATTTTAAATAACATGTAATATGTCTTTGTAATTATATTTGACGCATTACATGTACATGTTACAGACAGTGTATTTATGAAGTTGAGATAATTTATGAATAATTATAAGAAAAATATAAAAAATGTAAGGCATTTTATATAAAACTTTAAAGCACATGTTTAAAAAACATTTGCAAAAAAAAGAAAAACATTATGTATCGCACAATGATCTATAAACCGATAAAATTTTATTTTGCTAAAATTTAAAAATTTTGTTATTAAAAAAATTATCAGATCTACGCGTTCTTCAATGGTTCACAAGATAAAGGAACGTCAATGTTTATCAAGAAACAATGGCCTGGTCTTTATCGCTACACTAAAATTTTCTTCCTTTTATCAAAATTGAGACATACATTTACTTTAATCTACTTCACTTTAAGTACAACGAATGTACGCTCGATTAAGTTATCAAAAACAGATTTACCTTTATGTCCATTAACATAGATTAACTTTAATCTCAGTTTAGTTTATATATATTCTCCTCTAATTCAGAGAATTATATAAAGATAGAAAGTGAAATTTAACCGAGATCAAAATTAATCTACATTGGTGGAAATAGGGGTTAATCGCGCATCAACGCCTACGCGAGCACCCAATTTCCCGAGCAAAATTCTTGGCTCTATCGAAATCAAAAGCATTCTCTTACCATGTTATTATCTTCCTTCCCGTAGGACCAGTGATCCACGGCATTCGTGGTCGGCGGGTACAAGGAGAATATCGTGTAGCTGTGATCCTCGACGATATTGTCGTAATAGCCGGCGCTGGGCACTCGTTGCGTCATCTTGCGTTTCAGCAACTTCACTCAGAATCTCAACGCTTTCAAGTTCGATAATAAATAGAAAGAGACCAAGAACGACTTCGAGATTACAAAATTTGAGAACGATTGAGGACAAAAGACAACTGTCACTCGGGCGGAGAGTTCGCCGCGAGAGAAAGGGGAATCTTTACGCAACGGCGAATAAAACTCGACACTGTCACAAAAGTATCGAACGACTTCCGATAGTTCATTTGGTATCGCGCGCGCTTACGTACATCTGTCGACTGAGCCCGCCAACGTGATCGGAGTAACTATATAGAAAAGACAGCCGACCGTCGCCGTTTCCCCCACCACCCACCTCACGGGCGCGCTCCCGGTGACGTCACCGCCATCTTGATTGCTGATTCGTGCCGATAGCGTGCTCGGCCAATCAACGCGGTCCGCAGCCTCGCGCGTTGCTGCTCGTTCTGACGACGACAACTTCACGGAATCAGGGAACGCACATAGAACCAGATCCCCTTTTCCAGGTAGTGAGGATCGTTCCACTAAACTTGCGTAATCCGATAAATCGATCCGCCCGGCGAAGGGATCCGTGCGCAATCCAAGGGGGATTTTCGTCAGTGTGAGAAGCGGAAGCGTGCAAATTGTGATCCGCGACAAATTCAGGATGTGCGCTGAAGTTAGGCGAAATTGGTTGAATCGACGTTCGAGGGTGAAAAAAATTTTCACTCTCGTGAGACAAGAGGAAAAAGCGAGACTGATGAGGGTTGGCGTTGTTTCAAAATTTCTCTGTCCTAACAATGAGCTTGTTATCGCCATCAAAAGTTTAGCTAGCTATTCAAATGTGTTATATTTGTGCTAAAGTTGGACGAAATCGAATGAATCGAATGTTCGAGGATGAAAGAAATTTCAAATCTCGATGTGAGACGCGAGGAAAAAACGAGACTGACGAGAAGTGGCAAGTTTCAAAATTTTTCTGCCCTAACGACAAGCAATTCAGCTTGTTATCATCACTGAAAGTTTAACACTATTCACAAATGTGTTATATTTGCATTGAAATTAGGGTGAAATTGGTTGGAATCGACAATGTTCGAGAGCGAAAGAAACTTCGATGCGAAATTTCGATGCGAGGCGCGAGGAAAAAAAAACGAGTTTGACAAGTTTCAAAACTTCTTTGTTCTATAATAGCGAGCAATTCAGTTCTGTTATCGCCATCGAGAGTTTCGCTAGTTACTCAAATGTGTATGTTGCATTTGCACGCGGCAAACGTGCGCGATAACATGCGTTACAACGTCAAGTAACGTGTGTTACGCGATGAGTAGCAATGACTCACTACTGATGCTGACTACAATTTTTAAAATAGGCGTGCGAGTGCATTATGTCGCAGAAACCGTCCTCGACAATCCAACGATCCTTCGTACACACGTGCACGTGATTCTTATCTCTCTCTCTCTCT